TCTACAGCTCAAGATGGTGGAGTCTGAGTCTTTCCATGGAAAGAGAAAACTCATTGAAGAGGCAGTTATTTGGTTCTCTATTATTTATTGTCACAAAGTGTATTCTTTATTAACTGCTTTAGAAAAGCACAGATGTAAAACCTTTCTCAAGTGCTCACACGTGCTAATGCATGAGTGCCCTGTGCCCCCCGTTACCTCCTCGAGTACAGTCCTAATTCTGTGGGAAATGCTGAACTCACTGCCTGTAGTGTATGTGGACAATTATTCTCGCAGCTGTGGGTAGTCACCCTCCAAACAGCGATTCTGAGCCAGGAAAAACCCTGCAGTACGTTTGATCATGTTCAGAGTTTATTTTTATTTTGGAGAGGTGGTTGATTGCATGAACCTTTTCATCATAACAGTTTAACAGTGTGCTGGAACAATGTGCAACAGTCTCACAGAAAGGTCTGCTATATTTTCTTTAAAACGTCTCTTGCAAACATGACATGTGTAAAGGCAAGCTGTTAGTACAATTATCCCCATATGACCTAGTCTTTCCTCCATGACATTGCATGGATTTTATGCCTGCCTACTCGCTGGTTGTTGACGTGTTGCTGTGCTGTAGAGTAAAACTCGAGTAATTCAGTTATAATCCAGTGTTGTGGAAGGGAACACTATAACAGCTAAATCCCTTTAGTGCACAGGTCTAATTGCATTATCTGCAATACAAGAGTTATTGCTCACACCAGCTGATGCTCTGCACATTTGGGCTTGGCTCTCTCGCTTTCTCTGATCTGTCTGTACCGCTTTCCAGTGTATAAACACAGGTTAGTGTTCACAGCTTCTAGTGCAATTTTTTTCCCCACTTGTTACTGCTTATACATCACACTATAACATTCATGTTTGAAAACCGGGGAGGAACCACAAGTCCTACTTTTGTGTCTGATTGTTCTTTTGGCAATTGCTTTTAACTATGACAATTTCTTAGCCGTTTCCCTTTGTAAAATATAGTTACAAAAATGTGTTGGTTTCATTTGGTAATTTCAAGTCATATTGAATTTAACATAATGTTATTTTGTAAATTATGATCCCACTAGACTCAAAAACGATAATAAAGTAGAGTAGGCTTTACTGTGGGATTGACATTGAAAGCTAGCCTGTGAGCTTGTAGCCTCAGTTCCAAGAGATGTCCTCTGTAATGCTGGCCTTTACATTTTCTTTTAAATTATTTATCATCTGCAGTGGTGCTTTGTTCACCAGAAATTATTATTTAAGTTTTTGTTTTGGGGTAGCAATAACAACTACTACAAGTATTAACAACCTAATGCGGTCTAATGGGGTTATGAAACAGCTGCCTGGTGTAACTTGTGCTTTCTCACTGCTCGTACTGTAATTATTTATACGGTGTCTGCAAACCTAAATATTTCTCTCACCACACCACTTATCTACTATTTTAGCTGAAATTTAGCAGCTGGGTGGTATTAAATTGTCTCTAAGTAACACTCTTAGTGCTTTTGGTGTTGAAAAATTAATGTCCCTCAAATGTCTTGTGGCCTGCAAACTATCTCTTTTGCTTTTTGGGGGCTGAAGTGGGATTTTGCTGCTGTTGGTAATCATGGATTATAAATGTTTAAAGAGGCTAAAAGTCATTAGCCATCTGCGTATTCTTAGAGTAGCGACCTTGTGTTACAGCAACACGACAGTGGCTGCTGTTGCTGTATAATCACTTCTATAAACTTTCACTGCAGATGTTGAACAATTGAAGGCTTTTAATGAAAAAAAGACGACTTGATTTGACCAAAATAAATCCTGTGTTGTAGATGGCTGTTCTCTTGGCTGTCTGGCAGTTGAGCTTGAAATCAGGACAGCGCTTTTTCCACAGCAACATTCATCCAGAGATGTACACTTCCCATCCTGCCCCCAGGGAGGGGTTAAAAGCAATAAAGATGAGAACGATTTGTGTGCACTTGTGTGTTTATGTAATGTGTGTGTGTGTGTGTGTGTGTGTGTGAGAGACTTTTTTTTTTATAGCATTCATGTGGTTGAAGCTTTTTAGCTCGCTTCCATATGTTCCTGTTAGAAGCTTCTTGTGCTCTCCAGGGTGATGTTTGGTCAGGGTTGATGGTGCTTCTTTATGAAAGTCTCCTGCAGAAACAACAGCACTGTCTCCATGGATTCACACCGGATATTAGCCCCCACCCCCAGTTTAAGACAGTCTTATGCACACTCTTGCATCTGGCTTCCAACAGCTTGTTTCTGGCAGATGATGAACTAAGTGGGTGCATTATAAAATAAATGAACATTTTGCTATACTTGAAATCATTTAACGCTACTCTAGTAGAATATAAAAAAAAATACAAATATGGAAGTAGAAATTGGAATAAGAGTGCCTCCTTTCACCAGGCATGAGGGGGAGATTGAAATCCCAAATTGGTGGTAAAGGAAGTACCCCTGATGTGTGTCGTGGGTTTGTTCTCTGCTTTAAAATCATGCCAGGATTGCTTCAGAAGTACTGCATTTCCTCTGCATCAGGTCCTTTATTTTGAAAGTTGACTGCACGCCTCTCCTGCGTTTGTCTTCCTCTCGGTCTTGTCTTCTTTAAATCTTCTTTAAGTTGTTTTTAAAACTCTCTTCAGAACTGAGAGCTACTTCTGTGTTTGCTCAAATCACAAATGTTATCCTGAGTGGGCACGATCAGCTCTAGTGGACAAATAATTGAAGTTTATTGTCATATTCAGTGAAAAGCTCCATCAAAAAAAAAGAAAGCTGACAAAGCATCCATTGCTAAGGTCCGTTGACCATATTATTAATTTATCTATGCATTTTTTTAAAAAATGGTCCATATTGATGGAATTATTTGGAAAATCTGAAATTTACATGGCTTTCAATGAGCCTCTTTCCAGTAGGGTTTTTGTACTTTATTAGCATGTTGAATGACTTTTATTGTGTACAGAAGCGATTGCATAAGAGTGCTGATTTTGGACACTGCGCTACTGCTGAAGGGTTTTTATTGAGTCCTGGCCTCAGTGTACAAACAAGTGGTTACAATTGTCCCAGTTTGAGGGGGACAAGCATTTTATATTTACAATGTAATTATATCCACTTGTTTTTGTATGGCTTGAACCTGTTCTGTCATTTAAAACAAAAATGGCAGAGTTTGCACTTTCATTTGCATTTTCGTCACGAAACTCCCTGCCAGGCCTGGGTGGGCTCAAAAGCCCTGTTTCCCCCTGAAAGGAGGCCCAGTTCCAGCGCAGTGTGCAGGGGGCTGCAGCACCGCTCCTCCCCTTTCTCTGTCTCCCACAGGCTAGACCAGCAGAGTCGGAGAGCGATTGGCTCTGTGCTTCAGGCTGGGTGATTCTCTGCAGCAGGGCAATGTCACCCTGGCTCACCATCATGGTTCACTCTGTACTTTTACTCTCCACTGAGGCTTTAAACAGTTCATTAGTTTTTAACAAGACCGCAGAGCTCCAAACTCTGCTTTTTTAACCCCTCACTCTCTTGTATCTACTTGTGTCTTCATTGCAGGCTCTACTCTGTGTATTTTACACTATCAGTTTTTTCCAGTCTGTTACATAGCATTTGTGATTCTGATCACTCCAAAGGGAGCAGCATGATAAATGGTGGGGGTTGTCTGGACTGAAGCCTTCCTCATGGACACCCATCCTGAATAGAGAACATTGATGCTTCTCTATCCTCTATGCTGCTTCTCCCCCTTACTTGCTGTCCCTCTTTACTTGGATTGTCATTGCCTGAATGAGCCTTTCAGGACTCTGGTCTAGCAGGCTGAGATTAAAAAAAAGGTTCCTCTGCAAGATAAAGCGAGCAGGGCCCTGAGCCTTCTGAAGACGCTCTCTCCTCACAACCAGCCGCGGCCACACTATAAGTGTGAAAAGCACTTGTTGCTTTTCCTAATCTCGATAAACGGGTGTCTACATGTGAATATATGTGTAGTCCACAAGTTCTGTTTGATCAGGCTGTGATTGCATGCAGATTAATGGTCCTTTAGGAGAGTAGGTTTGTCAAAATTCAATCTTCAACCTTATTTTGAACTTGTTACAGCCCTGAATACATTCATGTAGGGGCTGAATACATGCCTGTGAGCTACATGTCCGCCACTGCTACGGTCCTGGTGTGGATTCTGTCCAATTTCCATTGAAAATGTCAGACTTTATTCATTTTTCTTTACCGTTCTTTGTTGTTCCAACTAAAGAAATGTTAAAACTACACAACAGGAAATGTTTTGGAGCATATATGGAATTTCACAGTATTGTACAAATAACATCCATCCATCTCTCCATTTCCTGCTTAAACAGCTGAAAAAGATAAGTAGTCCTAAAGATAAGTAGTAGTCCCACTGGCTCCAGCACTGGGCAGAAGAGACTAAACAACCCGTCTGATTTCAAGTCAGACTTTGGCAGGATTGGACAGGCATTTTATTTACATGATTTCTCTCAGTTTTCACACCAGGACAATTAAAAAAGCTGTTTTGAATTATAATAATCATTTAAAATGTTATGTTTTATAACTATTGTGGTTGCTGTCGTGCACATTTTTGGTAAGAAAACAAGATTTAAAGTGTTCTGTCTCATAAATGCAAGATGCTTCTAGCATCTACTTAAAAGTCAGTTAAAAATTCACACAAGCCATTATAAATTTAAACTGTGGATAGTCCTTCTGCCACATTATTCATCATATATACATGTCATTTAGCTTTTTTTTTGTGTGTTTTTTATTATTTCTTTTTTGCATTAATAAATAATGACTTCTCTAGATATCTGCTGGCTGCTGTGGAAGTCCTGAGAAATTGGCCGTTGTCATCAGTACACTGACTTGTGTTTGTTGGCTGTTTGCTTTCATGTTGGTATTGACTCATGAAAACCCTGTCACTCTGCGTCTTTGCATCATATAAGTGTGTTATAGTTTCTCCTACACATGCTTCAGGCACAAAATGATTGAGCTTTATATGCAGTTGTCCACAACTACGTTTTTCAATCTTTTCTCTCCCCCTCGGTTTTCAGGGCGTACCCCAGCTCCCGTGTGCCAAGGCGCTCTACAACTACGATGGCAAGGAACAAGGAGACCTCAAGTTCAGCAAGGGTGACATTATCATCCTGCGTCGACAAGTGGATGAGAACTGGTACCACGGTGAGATGGGTGGAGTCCACGGCTTTTTCCCCACCAACTTTGTCCAAGTTATTAAGCCGCTGCCACAGCCGCCACCTCAGTGCAAAGCTCTCTATGACTTTGAGCTCAAAGATAAAGAGGCCGACAAGGACTGTCTGCCCTTCTCAAAGGTGAGGCGCAGCAGCACTGCAAACCCACACTGCAAACCCACACTTCTGCCACATGGTCAGTGTAGTAAAACAAAAATACCTCTCATTACAGTGACACTCTTTCTTCTAAGCTTTCATTTACTCAGGTTTTGTGTGTATGTTGGAATGTCAGGGTTGTTGACGCCCAGAGAAATGGTTTAGATTTTCAGCCAGACTTCTTGATGAACAGCTGTAATTAGGAACGTCTTAACTACAATAATTAAGCAGTTATGTCTGTCCAGCTGTTGGGTCATGGTCTGCTGTTTATTCTTTCATCAGTTTGTGCCACATGAGCAAAAACCTAAATAAGCTTACTAAGTATTTTTCCAAACGCAATGACCCCTGTGTTTTTACTCATGGGCATGTACCGCTTAATAAAGCTTTGCACCCACCTCATTATTTCTGTTCAGTGTTTGTTCCTCAAGGATGAGCAACTCTCTTAGTTAGCAGTATGCTTAATGAGTGTTTTCCTGTCTGTCTGTCTGGAATTTCAGGATGATATCCTGACTGTGATCCGCAGAGTAGATGAAAACTGGGCCGAGGGAATGCTGGGAGATAAAATTGGAATTTTCCCCATCTCGTATGTTGAGGTAAGACGACTAACGGGACTCTACAGTGTCACCAATCGCTCCAGGAGCAGGTGTCTCACTAAGATCGGTTCCTTTGAACACCTTCCTTATATATCTCACAAAATATGTATGATACTCCTCATCCTTTTGAAATGCTTATGTTTCATTGAACCATTAAAAGCGTCTTTGAAGATTTAGACAGTCGCGGTCTCACTGACACTCTCGTGCAAAAGCTTTAGGAATAATTTAGACTGAATTAAGCAAATCTTTGCCCTTGAAAGATCATTTCATTTTCACTTGAAGACACCGTTCAAGTGAAGATCAAATAGGTGCGACTCGCTCTGCAAATGTCTGCCTCCTCTTAAATATGCACTCATTGACCACTTTATTATGGGCAGCTGGGATTTCCACACACTGGGTTCTGTAGCGTTTGCAGAGAATGATCAGTTTCCCAAATAATACGAAATGGAAATCGTGGATCCATCCTGCTTTGTGTCAGATGTTCAGGCTGGTGGTAGTGTTAAGTGTTCAAGATGTTTCATTGGTACATTTTGGATTAGTTATACCTACTGAGCACTGTCCATTCCTTTATGATGGCTGCTTCCAGGATTACACACCGTGTGACAATATATGTAAAGATTTAATGCAGTTTTGAAGGCAAAAGGGGTCCAACTCTGACAAACTGTGCCTAAAAAAGTGTCTGGTGAGTTTATAATGGAGTAGAATTGTTTGGGGGTGGGGGTGGGGGGTTGTTATGAGCAACAAAAAACAGAAAAATTATCATTAGTCTCTTTCCGGAAATCATGCGTTGAGAAATATCCACAGACCTCGTGAACAGTTTTTTGTAGGAATCATACTCATTTTTAATCACACTGCACCCATCCATCTACCCATTAAGTGAAACTGAGGCATGTGACAACAGGAGAGGATGCAAACGTTAATGGCGTCCTTGGCTGAGCTGGTATGTTAGCCCTCTTCAACCTTCTTTTGATAGCAGATGTAAACCACAAGCAAAAAACAAAAGTTTCCTAAATGAAACTGTTCACATTTTTGGGTAATTGGATGATGATGTCTACAGCTGCTGACATTTTTTTTTTTTTTTAATTATTTTTTTATATATATTTTTTTTATTTAATTTGACCGGCTCAAGTCACGTTTTGTGGTTTAATTAGAAAGCATGCACCTCTGTAGTCAGTATATCTCCAAAACTGGGCAACTCACCAAAATAATCTATATAAATTATTATAGAAACATTATAGAATAAATGTTTTTAAATGCATTTGGTGGAGACATGGTGTCCATCAATTAGATTGCAGAAGAATCTTGAGGTTAGTCTGTGCAAGTTTTTCAAAGCTGTGACAGTTGTTTTTTTGTTTTTGTTTTGGCTTTTTTTTTTTTTATTGCTGTTGTATGTTTTCTGTCCTTTTATACTCGTATTTTTCTACACTGAGTGGAGTTTTTTGCAGAAGCAGAATGCAGTGTTTCCAAGGCTATAAATCATTTTGTATCTTAACAACTGAAACTGCAGAATAGAACATTTTGTTGTCTTCTCCCCTCGATGCTAGGCAGTCGTTTTTCTGGTTTAATAAACAGTGGCAGAATCATAGCAAATGTACAGCAACCTAAAATGTTCTTTGTCTCTGCATAACCAGTGAATATCTAGGTCATAGTTTTTCTTTTCATCGCCTCAGGGGCTTTTGTTGCGTCTTCAGTTGTGCATATGAATTAATCTATAAAGTTGGCCTTATAATTTAATGAGATGAAGGGCTCCCACCTGGTGCTTTGCTCTTAATCTTGCATGTATATTTCTTAATGTGCTGACAGGTCAGTGATGAACCTGCACAGGATCTGAGTGTAATGCATAGCTTTTATGTCCTAAGTAGACAGAGCTGCTTGGGGCAACCTGTGACAGCAAGTAAGCA